CCTAGTGATTAAGCTTTGTAATGGCTCTGTTCCTCACAGTCTCTTCTGTTCCATTTCTTGATAGGGCTTGCATATATACGGCAGCTCTTTGGACAATGATTAAAGTGGGTGTGACCAAAGCACAGTAACATAGAATAATTACCATTGGTAATTTGGAAATTATATTTCTGTTGATGCAGAAAAATTGTATTTGCCTTCTTTGGAGCCTTATCATACTGCTGCTAACTCATACTTAGCTTGTAGTAAAGGCTTCACTTATTTCTGTTATGCTGGCATGAGATACTACCTCTATTCTCTCCCTTTTATTACAAAGCATTCTTCCTCTATTAGTTTTTTTTCTTGCCTTTTTAAAAACTATTTTTAATAGTCCAGTGATGGGATGCACTGCATTCTAATGGCTTTTTCGTGCTCTCTAATAAGGAATACTGTTTTTCCTGGCTGACAGTGCAGTTCTGTGCATATTTGTCTAAAATTAATTGCACACAGAAGATTTGTGTAACACATAACACACTTTCACAAGGAATCAGGTTCAAATTTCTGATTCTTGCAATGTCAGTGCATCTGTCCTGGGCCAATTTATTTCTGGTTGGATTTCAGTGTATTTGAACAACAAGAATAACAATAACTTCTTGAACTCTTAATTGCCATTTGCAAGAATCTGCGCCTCATCTAGCAGTTGTTTTAAGGGGAAAATATCTTGATGTCGTTGCAGCTCCTTCCCTCCCCAAAACATTGATTTTTTTAAAAAATTCAGCCACCTAGAAGCATAAAATAGGCTTTGGATTTATTAGGCTGAACATATAAGCTGTTTCATACATATTCACAATAAGTCACAATTATGTCAAATGATAAACTGTGTACCTTTTCAAAAATAGTTTTATAATTTTATTAATGAATTATAACAAACAAAAATAATATGTGATTATATAGTAAAAAACTACATGCATAATAGTGATTCAAGTAAATTGAATATGAGGGTAAAGCAAAAAAAAAAAAAACTGGAGAAAAAGATTCATATGACAGCAATATAAAGTTAATTCATTCCTTAAACTTATTGTAGCTCTAGACTATATAGAAACATACTAGTCCATATTTTCATTTTTAGAAAAAATAGACTAGTAAATCATTGTCTGAGATGAATGTGTTTAGTCATGTCACAGAGCAAGCTCGATTGTAATGCAAATTGTGTTGCCTCCTTCTATACAGATGCATGTGCAATTTATTATTTCTGTTGTCTATGAAGCAGAAGTGAGATCTTGCTTTTTCCCTCTTCTCTCTATAACTTGCAGCAGCGCAGGGTGGAGGCAATATGATTTTGGGATTTTTTGCTCCTTATGCACAGTGTTTTGAGGCATAAAGACTTTCATGTGCAGATGACCATGGATTGGCATTAATTTGCTATTGGGAAATCCCTAGATTTCATTTCATTTACTTCTCATATATATTATTTTATAAAAGCTCAAGGAGGCAAACATATTCTTCTTCTTCCTACTTTCCCCATAACAACAAACCTGTGAGATGGGTTGGGCTATGTGTGTGTGTGTGTGACTGGCCAAAGGTCACCCAGCCAGCTGTCTAAAGTGAGACTAGAACTCACAGTCTCCTGGTTTCCAGGTGGTGTCTTAAGCACCAAGCTTCAAACATGCCCAAAGGTACTCAAAACTTTTATGCCAAAAAACTGAAACTGAATGTACATCCCATAAAACTTTTAATAACCAGACACTCCACTTAACATGTGAAAAAGGGTGCAAGAACACATGGGCATACCACAAAGTGAATTCAAGGGAACTAAACATGCTGCCACAGTGAAAACTTTGGTTTTTCCATTTTAGGTTGGACAGGTTTTTTTAAGACTATGCCAAGTCAATTTTTAAGAAATAGCAGTTTGAATATTTCCAACATCTAAACAACAGGACCCCCCCCCCATTTTTAGCAGTTGTGTCAGTAGCGTCATATAAGAAGGGCCTAATAGAGCATCTGCAGTTAGAATAAAAAATGTCAAGATGTCAGCCACAATCATCCCATCAAAGTTTTGCAATTTTTAAAAAGGATGGGGCTATACTGGCATGTTTCAGCCAATATCTTGAGTTTTGTTGACCACTGCCAGAGATACTCCAGGGATCACAGATGAAGGTATCAGATGAGCAGTTTGTTCAGACAAACATACACAAACATGCATCAGAATAAATGGCCTAAAGCTTTCATCCGGGCTTTGCATTTTATTTATCAAATCAGTCTGGGGTTTTTTAGCATAACATAAATCCTTTAAATGCAAGGATTGTGTAACTCCCATAACTGATGCCAGTTCCGTTGTTCTTGGCTCTGATTCTTTCCCTTTGTAAGCTGTCTTTCAATTTTCTCATCCTTCAAACCATAAACCACAAAATAAATCTCTCAAAATATCCCTTAGGATATGTTGTTAAATTATCAGTATCCCCTGCTATTTAAATTCAGTGCTAGCTAGGGAATTCAAGGAATTGTAGTCTTCACTATCTATGCATATCCTGCTTTTATTATTTTTACACAAAGTGTATCCAACACATCTCCTTCCTCCTATTTTCTCCACAACCACCACCTTGTGAGATGAATTGGGCTAAGAGAGAGTGACTGACTCAAGGTCACCCATCTGACTTTCATCACTAAAGTGGGATTTGAACTCAAGGTCTCCCACTTTCTAGCCTGCTGCATTAACCACTAAATCAAACTGGCTCTTAAAGTTGCCAAGGTTGAGAGATGCTGCTCTACACTTGTTTAATAGTATTGTTTCCATTGATGCGTATAATAACCCTTGGAAGACAGGTATAAAAACAATAACCTTCTCCTATTTTTTTCTCCAAAAACATGCTGAGAGTAGTTATGTATAGGGAGTATAGGGAGATAATATAGTAGGACTATATCTAATCCTTTCACCAACATATTATTAGCATTAATTTTTTTCTAATACAAACATTGAAAACAATTGTATTATTAATTTTAGCACAGATCTACTTATTTTTATTTTGCTTACTGATAATTTTTCACTGCTATTCAGGTTCCACAATTTGCTGCCTGCCAATCTAGAGACAGGCCATTAGAGGGCAGGTTGACTTCATTCCTGAGTCCAGCTAAATGATTCAGTGGGAAAACCTCTTGTAGAATTAAGCAAGCACAAGATCAATTAAAATAAAAAATCCCAGCTTTAATTTTTTGGAAAAGGAGGGTGGACTGTTTCTTTTATTTTGGCCCGAGCCTATAAAATATTTGGGCTTATTTGGCCACTACGCTGTTTGCTTGGAGATCTTTGTGTGGGGGCTTCTTGTATTTTTGGAATAGTTTAATCAAAAACAATAACAGATAAAACTGGAATTATTTTAAAGTACATATTAAAATATCTCATAAAAGAAGAAAATTTGCCAGTTGGGGGAAGAACTGTCCCATTGGATATTAGGAGAAGATACAGGAGAAAAAGAAATTTGTTTAATGTCAGCTTGACCACTTTCTGTTTATTTTGGTATCTGCTGCCTACAACAGAATATTTGTTGCTTTATTCTCTAAAGTCAACTCCAAAACAATGGACTTTTCCATAGAAATAAGATGAGGAAGCTTTCAATGATATGTCTTTCCTTGGACATACTAGCAAATATGTTCAGGTTTGGTGCAATATTTTGAAATGTATAGAGCTGGGCTGCTTTGTATCCTACATATTCCCAAGCCAGGATTGTATCAAATATGCAATGCTTTTCTTGAGGAAGTGACTTTGAACAGAATACTTTCAAGCTGCTTTGGCTCAGGATTGTCTGAAGAGAAAAATCTCACCAGAAAAAGACAGAAAAACAACAACCAAGAGCTTAAATCTACGCTTCCAGGGACAGCTATACATAGACTCTATAAATTGACTTAGATCCTTTCTCATATCACTCAATAATAAACATGGTTTTGTAACCAAGCAAACACGCAATAAGAAACAATAGCTGATCTCAGGTCTCCAAATAGTGTCAGTCCTCCTGAGTAAGTTAATATAGAGGCTCAAGAGTGAACACTTTCAGTAGTGTCTAAGACAGAGATCTTCAAACTTGGCAACTTTAAGACTTGTGGACCAACTCCCAGAATTCCTCAGCCAGCCCTGAAAGTTGAAGTCCACAAGTCTTAAAGTTGCCAAGTTTGAAGACCCCTGGTCTAAAAGATTGCAATTTTGGAAATTGACTGACAAGAAGGTATAATAGGATAGATAAGTCATTTTTTAATTTATAACATTTATATTTTTATGTTTGATTGAGAGACAGGATGTCTAGACTGATTATTAAGCTGTGGTGATATCTATAGTACACAGTACCCACTAAGTAGTTCAGGACACTGTGCCAGGTTCTAACTGATAGGCATAATCTGGCAAAACTTAGCATTTACCTACAATGCTCTGGTAGACTGTGCATGGAAATATTTTTAAAGATTTTTGAACACAATTTAGTTTTGAAAACTGCTGCCAGATTGAAAATTTCTATATATCAGCCTAGATCAAAGCTATATTTTCTGTGACCTCTGGACAAATGATTTAGTTTTTTCTTTCTTCTCATCTATAAATAGGCATCATAAAGATGATGAAGTATTTGAAAATGAAATGCTTCCTGAATATCAAGTATTTAAGGTATTAGAGACATGAGTAATAATCATGAAAAGATATGGGTGCCACGTATGCTATACAATATCACAATCACATGTACAGGAGAAAAAAAGATAATAAAAATTTAAACCATATTCTAAATTCTTATTCAGTGCCTTTTAAAACAGGGATCTCCAGCCTTGGGAACTTTAAGACTTGTGGACTTCAACTCCCAGAATTCCTCCCTCAGCATGGCTGGCTGAAGAATTCTGGAAGTTGAAGTCCATAAGTCTTAAAGTTGCGATGTTTGAAAAGCCCCATTTTAAAATCTATTTCAACTCTTGTAGTCCCTTGACAGAGGTCAAAATGTATGTTGGCACACAAACACTTTCAATACTAGTGAAAAGAATTCCAGTAGGAAATGAAGGAGATAGAATTTTTTACTCTATTCTTAGCAAAGCAAAACTTCATAATCTGATTTCCAACTATACATAATTGTCTATGTACAAACTTGTATCATTATATGATTTTATGACTTAGTCCCCAATTAGTTGAGATTCCTCACGTGACTAGCCAGAAATGGATTTTCCCATCTTCACTGGGTTATGAGTATACAGCCAATCAGACTACAGTATTTCACCTATGCTTCAGAACACTATATACACTGCCAGGTGATTTCAATCTGTAGAAGTTTTTTTTTCTTTACAAAGATTTCTCATATTTTTCTTCCATGCAAACAAAGGCAAAAGTCACAATATCAACAAGACACAAGCTTCAAAGAAAACTTTGATCTTTACTCTGCTAAGTTATTAAAGACTCATCTCAATTTGTCAGGTTATACTTCATCCATGAGCAATGTTGTTATGAAGACATTATTCTCTTTTATACACACATAGCGAATAATAATAGTACACAATGCCTCCTTTGTTTTTTGTATGTCACTAACATTTGCCTCCAAACATTACGTATTCCTGTGATCCCTAAAACTGGTCAATCTGGCTTCAGGCAATTAAGCATTGTAATGATTTATTTATTTCTAAGAAGAACATAAACATTAACTATACTGAACAATGGATGATGATCTCACTTGCTAGATTCCTAGAACTATTATTTGGAGAAGGGATAATGAAGAAAGAATAACAGGATATGTTTCTTTGAATTTCTGTAACTGCAAAGCATCAGTTCATTAATTGGATGGATTTATAACTGTAGTCTCAAGCTGGCAATAAAGACATCACTACTAAATAACATTAAAACACATGGTCTGGAATTTTTTCCACCAAACAATAAAGCTGTCTAGTGTCATTGGGGTGGTACTAAGAAGGAAGATGGTTGTCAGATGTAGGAATTCTTGTTTGCTACGTCTCTCTTCTCTGTTGAGAACAGTCGCTTTGTCTCTCCATTCTTCAGAGGTTCTCTCATCACCACAGAAACAAGATCAGCTTGGGTTTCTGGTGTTCCAGTTGCTGGATTGAAGTCAGCATGTCAACTTTTGAATGGAGTGGACTGGTTTATAAGCGGCTTCCTCTTCCACTCTGGAGAGATAAAACACTCAGTGTAAATTCCAACCCTGTCTGGGAAAGTGTGGCCAAACAAGAGGCAGACGGCCAAATTAGACATTACCATGGAAGAAAACTGATCTTCCAATTTATTTTAAACTGAAAAAGAGCTAGAGAAAGCTGCCAATGTGAGTAGAAAAGCAGGGGAGGGGAGGGGGGTGGAAGACTGCTTCATTCTTTCCACTTTGGTCGTTTTGTGTTTCAACTAGGCAAAAGATCCCCACATTTTTTCTTCCCTGCAAAGGAAAGAAGGGAGATTTGACACATAAAAGACTGACAGATTTGCACCCTGTTCATATTGATAGCTTCTCATTAAAAGACTGTATGCATCTTCTTCACCATTTCTGATTTGACAATCATCTTTTCCACATTTCTCCAGATAATGGATGGTGATATATTTACCCTTTGTCTGATATAATCTGAAAAATAGATATTTTACTCAAGTTCACCAGCTTTCTTCAAAATGATACTATTCAGATGTGTTGGAACTAGATCATCCAGAATTCCCAGCAAGGATGCTAAGGATGTAGTAGTGCTGAGACATCTGCTCAAGTTTTTTGAAATTTCAGAAACTGCCTGAATAAATCAATCAACAAGCAACTAGAAATTGTGTACTGTTTGCCATCATTTTAAGCCTTTCCACAAAGTGACTAAGAGCATCACGCAGTTTTTACTATGGTGACATATTGTCCTTTGGAATAGAAGAACATATTACTGTAGTGATATGTTGTCCTGTGAAATATGAGAATGCTATTCTGAGTTTTCATGTTTACAGCTAGTTAATCAAATGTATATGAACATGTGAACATTCTAGGGGCATATGGGTAGCCAAATTCCTATTGTCCTAATTAAATATATAGATCATCCTTCCCAGGGTTAATATCATACACAAACGGTTATTTTCCAGTACTAATCAAGTCAAGAGTGGGAGACATGATAGGTCAATATTATGTGGCCAGGTTAGAATCCATGACATTGCTTCAAGATGCCAGCATATTTCTCTCCTCCTATTTTTCTCCAGCCCCCTTTCTATCCAGCTCTGATATGCTCTGTTCTGTCAGTTTCATAATGCAAACTGGAGCTCCTTCATCTCCTATGTCCTACGTTCTTTCATTGGGAACAGCATGTTTGAAGAGCAGTAAGAATATTTTGATTCTCAACAGGGGTGCTACAACAGGCACATTGAGTACTTGCACAGTAAATTTAGTTTCAACGCTTCACACTCTACTCTACATTTTTTCCTCTACAGGGAACCTGTGAAGTGTACACATTTTAGGCAAAAGCTAGATTCCTTGGGTCAAGTAACAACAAAATCACTTCCTTAAACAAAATAGCCCACTTCAAATGCAGCCAGGTACTTTAAGCTGCATCAATAAATCATGCTGCCAAATTTGGGGTCACGAAAGGGCCTTTGCTATTTTGGGATTCAATTGCTTGCAGTTCTTGGCAGTCAAATTGCAGGCATTGATTTTGTTGGAAGAATTTATACCTGATATAAGGAGATGCTATTCTTTACATGCTCTGCCATTTATGAGACAGCTTAGTGGTCCACAGTGTATGTGTGTGTAGAAAAGAGACTGAGATGGATTATAGTACCAATCAGAGCTTCAGCAAAAAATCAGAAGAAAGTTTATTAAAAAACATAAACTTTTGTGGCTTTTAGTTTACAGGTAATATTTGATTTATGGCCACAATTGAGACCAGATTTTCTGTTGTTTACCAAGGTGGTTGTTAAATGAGTCACGTTTGATCTTACAGCCTTTCTTTGCCATGGTTTAATAAGTTTATAGATCTTTTCTTTGATGCCTGCCCAAGTGCTGACTTTGGGTGCCACCTCTGTGTATCCAGGGAAACTCTGTATTGTGAAAGGATTTTCCCTATTATTTGATCAGGTTAATTAGTTTAATTATTAGTGGAGGAAGTGGATTAGCAATCTTTGTTTGTATTGACTTTGTTTGCAACATATTTTTCTTCACACAATTTTAAAAGTCCTGGAGTTGTCTCGAATTTTAAGAACTCCTGTCCCTTACCATGTTGCCTATTCCCATGAGAGTTGGGCAGGGTCCAAGGATGCACAAGCGTTTCTGACTTTCAAGCCTGCAATAGGGATTCTTGTTAGACACCCGTGTGGATATCCCAATGCCACAGGTGGTAGAGCAGGCAGACCACTCAGTGCTCCAGTCTTCACACAAATAGGGGAAAGCTATCCCAGATATCCTTCCTGGAACAAAACCAGGAACAAAAGAAGGAAAGGGATGTGTTGAAAATTGGCACAAATGGTCATAACAACTTCCACAGACATACAGTGGCTACAACTACAGCAAGTTATAAAACGCAAGAACAAGCCAAACTTCAGGGCATCTGTTTTCAAGGACTAGATTTATTAACTGGTGCAGTTTTATGGGCAATCAAAACTGTGACTTCAACCTAGCTGAGGAGTAGTTAAGTCAGTACATTTTTGTTTCATGATTCAGTATACTTTGGTATACTGTTATGCATACTGTTGAGTTCTATATAACTTAAATTTATGAATAAAATGCACCTTACAAGTAATAACATTATATCTATAACCATTGTGTAGGACCAGCTCTTCATTTTTGGTGATCTATTCTAGACATTAAACATAACATATATACCAGTTGCCTAAGAACCATGGGGGCCTCACAGGGTCTTAAAAAGGTATAGAGCAGTGGTTCTCAACCTTTTTAATGCCGCGACCCCAACCGGTCGTAAGTCGAGGACTACTCAATCGGTCGTAAGTCGAGGACTACTCAACTGGTGCAGCACCCTTTGCAGAATGGGACTTTTGGCGGGCTCAGCAGGGCAGAGACAACCTGGACAATTCCTATTGGCTTTTGAAAGCCAACAGAATTAGACTCTATTCAAGAGAGTCTATTCTATTGGCTTTCAAAAGCCAATAGAATAAAAGGGAGTAGCACAGCTAAGGAAAAGGGGGAAAAAATGGCGGACTGCGTTGTTTGGCGACCCCCATGAAATGGTCGTTCGACCCCAAATGGGGTCCTGACCCACAGGTTGAGAATCACTGGTATAGAGAGTCAAATGAAGCCCATGCGACCCAGGTTGCCTGTCGCACACCTAAAAGATTTTCCTTTTATAAGGCATAGCATTCTTGCATTCCAGAAGCAAGGTTGGATTTTGAATGTATGTGACATTTTTAGCTCTAAAAAAAGTAAAGTCTTCTCTGAATCAAGCATTACTCCTGATGACAAATTTATGCAGTTTTTATGGCATTACACAAATGGTTTGACATTGCCTTCTTCCAGAACATTTTTTTTCAACTTCCCAGTTAAGTCTATAGGTCTAACTACCCAGATGGTTCCCCATCCATGTGCTAACTACAGTTGACCCTGCTTCACTTTCAGGATCAATCAAGATGCTGTCATGTACCATCTAATGTAGGCGGTTGACAGATGGTCCGCAGGTTGCATGCTGCCTGCCAAGCAACCTTGTGTGGCCTAGTGATTTTTCTTAATAAAAGACATACTGCAAAGCACTTGTAGTGTCTCCAAGGCTCATTACCACTACCATTGGCACCTCTCTACTGGCTGCCATAGAGCTGATTGCTATGCCAGGTATTCCTCTGAGAACCACAATGCCTTTTAATTTATTAATATAGCAGTTTTCTCTCTTCAGGTTGTACAATTATGGTCTAATACAGGTAGTCCTCACATACTGACCACAGTGTGGACCAGAACTCCATTGCTAACCAATGCAACTATTAAATGTAACTACACCAGATTTATGGCAGTAGTTTTGCTGCATCCATTAAGCAAATCACTGTAGGTCATTAAGCATGACATGGTTTGACTATGACTTGCAATTTCCTACTGGTTTTCGCACTGTCAGAACTGTCTGTGAAGTATTCAACTAGTGATCAGGTGACCATGGGACGCTGCAACTCTTGTAAATATGTGCCAGTTGCAAAGCACCCAATTTGTGCCAGTGGCAATCACACAATGTGGGTACACTATGAAAGCTGCAAATTCAAGGATCAGTTGTAAAGCTACTGTATCAGTGCCACTCTTAACTTTGAACGGTTACTAAACAAGACTGTTAGTAAGCAAGAACTACCTGTAGATGGATGTAATTCATTCACATCGTCAGACTTTCTATCCCCCAATGTCTCAGAACATTGTTCTGTTCAAAACCAATCATAGTATCTTTCTTTCTATTGACCTTGAAATGCAGAAAATATTTATAAGATGCTCTGAGTTAGTTCAACTGAAAATGAGAGAATACAAAAAAAGACATTCAAATGAGTGAGGCTGGCTTTCATGCTGAAGGAAGGACTAGAACTTACAGTCTCAGAGTTTCTAGTCCAGTATATTAACCACTAGAACCAGCTGAAAGTTTAAAAAGAGCTTGCATTTAAGCCAGACTGGCAAATAATTACATGAACCATATTAAAATGAAAAACAATTTAGTTAGTTGATGATAGCTGGGGGGGCGGGAATTGGCTCTGTCCCATCTTCAGCAACTCCTGCCGGGAAAAACTGGCATATTCAGTGGCTCTCCATTAATCTAAATGGAATTCCAGGTACATGGTTCCAACCACCAAGGTTTTACTGTGAGTCACCCAATATAAAGACACTGAAAAGGGGTGTTGGGATCTGTGGATTGTACCTGCCATGTTGTCCTGCAAGATCTGTCTGGGTTCTCTGTCACAAATCCATTCTTGACAACACTTCCCTGGGATTTCCACACGCCTTGGATAGGGACAATCTGGGGTGGGGAGACGAACATCCTCACTGCAGAGAGGACCACATATAAATCCTCCTCCTGAGCAGCGACATTGAAGCTTACAACTTGGCTGGAATACTTCTCCATCTTGATAAATCTTTCCATTCACTTCACAACTGTCTTGGTCAACTTCTTCATCTGCAGCCAACATTGGGAACCGATGAGACAAATCAAATATAAATATTTAGAACTGGGATAGCGTTCACACCTAATATTAACACTAGACTATGATTATTTCACATTCTGAAGTGGTACCTGTAGCCTTAAGTAAGGAAGACTGAAATGGAATCTGATACTACTTTTAAGTATGCAAGAGATCATACAGAAAGTTATCTGTTCTGTATTATCTATGGGTGTGACATATAATTGGTATAATTATAAATAAAGATCCAGTTTGGTCTAGTATTAAGGCACCAGGCTAGAAAGCAGGAGACTTTGAGTTCTAGGCCCACTTAAACCAGCTGGGTTACTTTGGGCCAATCACTGTTTCTCTCAGCCCAACTCATCTCACAGGGTTGTTGTGAGGAAAATAGGATGAGAACAGTATGTTGGATATTCACCACCTTCAGTTATTTGTACAAATAATAAATGTGGGACATAAATAATCAATCAATCAAACAAAATAAGCTACAGGAAGGAAGATTCTAAGTGAATGTTAGCAAAAGCTTTCCAAAGATGAATAAGTTTTATAATAGAACTCACTGCCCAGAAAAATGGTACACTCCACTTCACTGAATTTGCAGACAATTATCTATTTCCAGTAGTGTAATATGTATTCTTGCATTATGTATGTGATGGAACTCAGTGGCCTAAATGGCCCTTCCAATTCTGCAGCATATATTTATAGGTCGAACACAAGATCACTGGGAAAACACTGGCAGTTTTATCATTGCAGAAGAAGAAATCACACTGGGACCCAGGAAGAAGGGATGTGACTGAAGAGAGGAGACACCTAGGATGGGAAGCCATAGGTAAAAAGGAAAGATATCATAGGCACTGTAGACTGAGTCAGGCTTAGAGACTGACAAACAATTTAATCAGCAATTACCTTGGGTTTTGTTGTTGTTATTGTAAAACCTATGTCACTGTTACAGGGAAGGGCAATAATAATATTTGTCTTTGACTAGTAAGGACCACATGTCTGCTAGATCAAATAATTTGCCTACAAAAGCAATCTAGTGTCACCATCTACTTTTTCTCATTTTTTAATGGACAAGATATGAATCATATCTGCCTAAGACTCTGATACATCATTTTTAGTGAGGACAGAAAATATTGGGCTATTTGTCTCTTATTTGTTTTTAAGAAGCCTTCAATGTAGGATAGGATAGGATAGGATAGGATAGGAATAGAACAGAACCAAAGCCTTTCTTAGATGAAGATAGCATGAATGTCCAAGTGTTGACCATAGTTCTTCTGTTTTTCTCTCAAAGATCTGCTAAGGAAGAAAGAGATTTTCTTCTAGTTAGATTTTACCTTGTGGGGAACTGATATTTGTTTACATTTCTGCCAGCTAACTTGCACTCTCCAAGTGAGATAGGAAATTGAAGCATATTTCTTAGCTTTGCTTACATTCCTCTCAGCTACCATGGGAATATCAGAGGCAGAACAGAAAAGAAGTTTAGTGTCATAAAATCAAACCAACATTACCTGCCTACTTCCTGGACTATAATTATGACCTTGATGTATGTGATTGCAACTGTAATATTCTTTTTTTAGCAAGATCTTTATCGAATGATGGGAATGTTTGACATCAAAAACATGGCTCTAATGTGCCATTTGAATCTCTAGCAGTGAATCTCTGGTGGTGCAGTGGTTAAAATGCAATATTGTAGGCTGACTCTTTCCACTGCCAGGAGTTCTATCCTGTCCCGCTCAAGGTTGAATCAGCCTTCTGTCCTTCCAAGGTTGATAAAAAGAGGACTCAGATTATTGGGGCTAATATGCTGACTCTATAAACCTCTTAGAAAGGGCAACAAAGCACTATGAAACAGCATATTATTCTAAGTGCTATTGCTATCAAATGTTTAATATTTCTCACATTTCCTATATTTTATTTAGGTTTTATGCAATAATGATTGTGAGGACTCCAGTATATGAAATAAATAAGATAACAAAAAATAGGAAAAGCAGCAATAAATGCTGGCAGGTTGAAGAAAGTTTCCTTTCTTTCTAACTCAGTACAATTTCCAATTTTTTTCCTGTTCAGGACAAATCCAGGCCTATAGTTTAACTGAGGTAAAAAGCAAACATTAAAGGCTTATTTTCCCTCATCCTATTATCTCTCTCAGTTCTCCCTTCTTTTAGTTGCTACTGACATTTTTGAAGCAGTGAACATTCATGAATAATATCCATGTCTAATTTGACCCTGAACCTGTAAGGAAAGTTTGTAGATTTAGGAACTGAGCTTTTGAGGTCTTAGTCAAGTGAATTACCTAATCATACTGTGTTATTCTGGCATGCATTAAACTCAGATAACTCCATCTACTTTTAGGAAGCTGATGTTCTCCTCATACTTCAAAATTTCTATTAAGAATAACAAAGATTGCTCACAGTTGCAGATTCCTGCCCTTCGTGTGGGAGCATTGCTGTAGTCGCAGATAAGTTCCTGGTTTTGATCACAAACAATAAGATGGTTGCATGGCTCCCCTAGCCTCCGAGCACATATGCTGCAACAGCCGCATCCATCCAGAACCAAGCGAGACCCAGGTGGACAACGGGGAGGGAGCCATGGACAGTAGCATGGAGTTTGACAGTGCTGGAAGTTTGCCTGGGAGGAGAGAGATAACATTATAACAAAATGCCCAGTTCAATTTATATGTTAAAACTGATATTTAAGAAATCTTCCATTAGGACATCTTCCCCTATCAAATGAGTTCATTTCTTACATAGAGATGGTTCTTGATACAGGTAATCCTTGACTTAGACCAGAATTGAGCCTGGAATTACAATTATAAGTCATTGCAGTCATAACTTGAGACATCATATGAACGGATTCAAAGTTACAACCATTTTTACGATGGTCATTAAACAAACATGGTGGTTGTTAAGTGAATGGTTTTTTCCCCCAGAAAACAGAAGTAAACCCCTGGAATTGGCAAAAAAAATATATCACAAATCGCAGTCATGTGACCGTGGGATGCTGCATATGGCTATAAAGGTTAGCCAACTGCCAAGTACCTAAAATCCAGTCATGTGACCGTAAGGTATGTGCAGCTGTCATAACTCTGAAAATGGATTGTGGGTAGTGTTGGGGAGGTCCATTGTAACTTTGAATGGTTTTTAAATCCAGGACTATATGTAATACTAATTTTTTTAAAAAGATGTGTAGATATTCCAACTTTCCATAATTTCTAAGTGTTATGAAAATATGGAAGAATAAATAATCACCTTAGCAACATGGGCATCATAGAAGTTTAATAATAAAAATGGGGAGAGTTATAAATGAAAGATGGTGGACCATAACAGTCCTGAGAAAGAGTGAGGGTAGTTGATTGCTCAGGGCCCAGATACAGTGGTGGGATTCAGCTAGTTCGCACCAGTTTGGCAGAACCAGTAGTTAATTTTTTGTTGTCCAGGCCCAGAATGGACTTCCAGAAACAGCATCCACAGAGAATTGGCTGTTCACATATTTGAATCTCACCACTGCCCGGATGTCCACTAATCTACAGACAGTTCTTAAAATAGCCATTCTCAAGTTAAATTTTCAATTAATGTAGAAAAACAGATTGGAATATTATAGCAAAAGGAAAGTCTCTAAGCTTTTGTCTTTCAGATGTGCTGGGTTTCAAAATGTGAAATTGACTCAAGAAATTGATCTAATCTATCTGAAGAGCAACAGGCTGAGGTTACTCTAGCCAATGATCTAAGATTCTGATGGAACAAAACACTAATCACATTCAGTTTCCCATCAACAGAGGGAGATCCAGATTGAAGGACCCTTGTCCTCACATTTTAAAAAAACTGAACATCTGAAGAAGTCCAATACATTTGCAAAAATTGTTTCTTTAGAGCTAATCCTAACAGCAACCAAACTCCTAGTGCAGGAAAGGCTATTATTCATATTACATACACAACAAATGACAACATAGTTGTCAATTCATTAGCTGGGAGTGGCCTTCATATGCTTCAAGTTCTTCCCAAAAATGTAGGACATGGGTGTCAAACTGGCGGACCGCGGGCCGGATGCCTCACATGCAGGCCACACCCACCCAAGCTCTGCAAAGGTAAAAAACATCGTGATACATCATTATACATCTGTCACAGGTTCCGACTAATGAAGCACTTCAAAGAACTTTCAGGCATGTTTCCTAAAGTCTTTATTACAGAGCTACAATTTTGCCGGTTACCATCATGGACGTATTGATGCCAGAATCTGACTTCCTCTCGCTGGCATCAATCTTTTCTTGCTAAACCCCTCCCTTGTCTTGCAGTCACAAGTCACATTATCCAATTAGTGTGAAGGTCAAAAGTTTACTTCCTCTTTCTTTCCCGGGCTTTCCCCCCCACTCTAAGCTATGTATTAACCCAGTAATTACCAGACAGTTTTGCATATTGTCAAAGCAAGAATATACAGTATTTGCAGCATTGACATCCGCCCCCCCTTACAAGAAGGACAGATCCTGTAAAGTAAACAAAAGCATATGTTAAGGGTTATCTTTCGATTTGCTGGGATGTTTCACATGAAACCTTTCGATCAATCTGTCAGCGTTCACTTCACTAGATTTCACCCAGGTGGCTTCAGACAATGGGTATCCCTTCCATTGTACTAAGTACCGTAATTTCCCTCTAAAGATTCTGGAGTCAAGAATATGTTTCACTTCATAGTGGGTCTGCCCTGCCACTACGAGGGGTCCAGGTGCCTTCTTTGGAGGAGGTCTTAAAGTGGAGCCCCGATAAGGCTTCAACAAACTACAATGGAAAACTGGGTGAATTTTCCCTAACAGTTTAGGGAATTTTAGTTGTACTGTGACTGAGTTGATGACCTTTACTATGGGGAAAGGCCCCAAGAATTTTGGTCCCAATTTCTTGCTGGGCAATTTGAGGCGTAGATATTTAGTTGACAGATAGACCTTTTCCCCAACTTGGAATGTTCTTTGGGGAGCCCTCTTTTTATCAGCCTGCTTTTTATAGGTTTCAAAAGTCTTTTTTAAAGCAGTTTTTGTGTTTTTCCAAACTTCTTCCCACCCTCTCACCCATTGATCAAGTGTCTGTGCAGCAGAGGGCAACTGAGGATATTCAGGTATTGGGTTAAATTCTTTCCCTGTGGCTACTTTGAAAGGTGTGTAGACGGTGCTGCTGTGCACAGAATTATTGTACGCCACCTCCGCAAAAGGGAGGAGATCAGTCCAGTTCGTCTGTTGGTAAGAAACGTAGCACCTAAGATATTGCTCCACCATTTTGTTAGCGGCTTCAGCGGCCCCATTGGTGGCTGGATGACAAGCAGATGATAACCCTTGAGATGATCCAATCAATGTAAGGAAATTTCTCCAAAACTTCGCTGTGAATTGCACCCCCCTGTCTGAGATTATTCGCTTAGGGGCACCATGCAGCCGGTAGATATGTTTCAGGAACAATTTGGCCAGTCGTTGGGCAGATGGGAGTCCTTTGCAGGCGATGAAATGAGCCTGTTTTGAGAACAGGTCTATCACAGTCCAGATGACAGTATTTCCCCTACTTTCAGGTAGGTCCACTATAAAGTCCATAGCTATTTCTTCCCAGGGTTGAGAAGGGTCTGCCACAGGTTGCAGTAACCCAGGAGTTTTCCCCGGGATTCTTTTCATTGTGGCACATACAGTACAACTTTTTACATAGTTTTCCACATCCTTTTTCAGCCCTGGCCACCAGAATTGCCGGCGGGTGAGGTGTAGGGTTTTCAAATATCCAAAGTGTCCAGCCTGCTTCACATCGTGGCTGTGTTTGAGAGCATTAAGACGGAGCGCTTCTGGCAAATATAACTTCCCCCCTTTGTAAGCCAAGCCATCCCTGCATGTTAGGGACGCTTGATTATCTTTGAACCATTGGTCAGTGAGGAGCTCTCGTTTTATTTTCTTCACTCCAGGGTCATCAGGATTGGGGACCCTGCGAGGTGTAAATTGAGCAACAGTTTGTGGATTGGGAATAATTACCTCGTTAACCTGCTCTCGTTCGCTTTTGTACTGGGGTAACCGGGATAGCGCATCAGCTAGAAAGTTCTTTCCTCCTGGTATGTACTTTAGAGTGAAGTTGAAGCGGTTAAAATACTGTGCCCACCGTACTTGCTTTGGTGACAATTTGCGGGGAGTTTTCAGTGCCTCTAGGTTCTTGTGATCTGTCCATACCTCAAATGGCACCTTGCTCCCTTCTAGATAGTGTCGCCAGTTCAATAGCGCCCACCTAATTGCGAAGGCCTCTTTCTCCCAGATTGCCCATCTTCGCTCGCTCTCAGTGAATTTCTTAGAGGTGTAGGCACAGGGGTGCAGGATCCCATTTTTGTTCTTTTGAAGTAACACTGCTCCAACCGCCACATCGCTGGCATCGGCTTGAATCACAAAGGGTTCCCCTGGGCAGGGGTGCTTTAGAACCGGTTCAGCAGCAAATAGTCTCTTTAAATTCTCAAAAGCTGTTTGACAGCTCATTGTCCATGCTAGTGGTTGGCCCGGTCGTGGCTTCCCTCCTCCTTTGCCTGTTTTGAGTAGTTCTGTAAGAGGAAGGGAAATCTCGGCAAAAGAAGGGATGAATTGACGATAAAAGTTGGCAAAACCCAGAAAGCTCTGGAGCTGTTTGCGAGTCCTTGGGGGCTGCCATTCGATTATAGTTTTCACCTTGGCCGGATCCATTTCAATACCCTCATTGGAAATTCGGTAGCCAAGATAGTCTAATTGGGTTTGGTGAAATTCACATTTTGACAATTTGACATAAAGCTTGGCATTCAATAGTTTCTTTAACACTTCTCTCCCTAGCTTTATGTGATCAGTCATATTTGTGCTGTATATCAGGATATCATCAAGATACACCAAAACCCCTTTGTACAAGTGATCATGTAGAACCTCATTAATCAACTGCATAAATACAGCTGGGCCCCCCTGTAGTCCAAATGGCATGACTTTGAACTGACAGCTCCCCATAGGACAGTTGAAGGCTTTCGTGGGGGTGAGTGCTGTCCAGGTAGCTCTGGTTGGTGTTTGGGTTCATGTGGGGGAGGCTTTTTATAGAGAGAGAGCTTAACATCTAGCTTCACGACTGTCTGGTACCACTCCTGCAGCCGATCAGGTATTTCTCGATAGATGCAGGCCTGAGAGAAGTGATCGTCTAATCCCTCAATGAAGTAATGGATGAGGGACTCCTCAGGCCACCCCTCTATTCGACCTGCTATCTTGCGGAATTCTCGCACGTACTCCAGGGCAGGCCTCCCAGCTTGTTTTATTTTGTGAATTTGTCCTGCTGCTTTGAGGCCGATGGATGGGTCCTCAAATCTTTCTCTCAGACTTAAAAGAAAGTGGTGGGGATCTTCCAATTCGGGGGCTTGCTTGCTATATAAATGGTTCAGCCATTCAGATGCTTCTCCCTCTAGGTTGGACGCAATAACATCGACCATGGCCCCTGGTTCCGGGTACAGATAGGCCCAGTATTTCAAGTGAAAACGCACTTGGTTGAGAAAAAAAAATCAGCTTCTCTGGGTCCCCATCAAAGGTTGCATTGAAGGGTGGTGCGAACACAGGCTGCTGTGACCCCCACTGGGGCTGGTTCCATGGCTGCTGGGCCCTCTGCTGCTGGCCAGCAGATGCCTCA